CACTTCAAGTTCGTTTCGTTTCGTCCCTCTTTGCTTCGAAAAGCGAAAAGTTGAGCAAAAGTTGGGGGCGAAGGTGGGCGAAATGGGCGAAAAAGTGGGCGTGGCAGTCGGGATTGCTGCTGCTACTGCTACGGGCATGGAAAATTAACAATTTTTCAATTAAAATCAATACGGAGTGTGTACTTGTAGTCGGTAGTTTCCTTTTTTAGTGCGCCTTGTGGGGTTAAGGGGGGGTTAGGGGAGGGTTAAAGGGGTTTTTAGGGTGGCCCAAAAGTGGGTGTGGTTCTGTGCTGTCAGGGTAATCTGCATACATATGTATGTGCCCATGTGTGTGTGTACATTTCATGAAAATAGCTTAAGTGCCTGAAAATATGCAACGCATTCGACGAGCAGGAAGAAAGTATCCATGTGTGTGTACTTTGTGCATATGTGTGGGTGGGGTGGTCCTATCCCTGCAAGCATTTTCTATCGCGGAAGTCACTATTTAGTGACGTCTAGAAGATGAAAACGATCGTCCGCGATATCGCATTCGGATCGCCGAAGTCACCCCCGTCGGGAAGAACTGTTCCACTATGGCGACACTTCCCGAAGTCACTTCTGAGTGACTCCTAGAAGTGTCGCGAAAGTCACTTCCAGAAGTGACTTCGGCGACGCTTCTAGAAGTGTCGCCGTAGTGGAACATTTCTTCCCGACGGGGGTGACTTCGGCGATCCGAATGCGATATCGCGGAAGTCACTTCCAGAAGTGACTTAGGCGACACTTCTAGAAGTGCCGCCTTAGTGGAACAGTTCTTCCCGACGGGGGTGACTTCGGCGATCCGAATGCGATATCGTGCAAGTCACTTGTAGAAGTGTCGCCGAAGTCACTTCTGGAAGTTATGTTTTTTGTGCTCATTCTTCATGTTTATTCTTTCAACACATTTATTGAAATATATAGTTACAAAAGCATTGCGGCATGTAAGCACGGTCCAAAAGCTTGTAGGAAATGGTGTTGTATTATTTTATTTAAATCCAGTTCCGTGTTCCGTCTATGAAAATGCTTAAAACAACAAAAAAATAATTAATATTGTGCCATATAAAAATCGGAGGAGGTATTTACCTTTTATAATTAAATAAGTGGAGTATAGTTAAGTTTTCTGTTTGCCCAGAGTTTCACGCCAAGTAATTCCTTTTGCTTTCGGAGGACAGCCTTGTACACGCTTAAATCTGGATTTCTCCAATTAATTTAATTTTTGATGTAAATAAATATTGTATTTTATTTATATTCCACCGGTATGTAATATTTAAAAAATAACTCCGCATTTCATCACAAACACAGAAATTTAGAATAAATCGCACTGATCACAAAGAAATCTCGAAACGAACTGACGCTCGAATTCAAAATACAAAGTGCGTAGGTCAAAGAGAAAAAAGGGAAGTTTTCAGGTATAAAGAGAGAGCCAAGAGCGGACTGTACCCCAAAGACTTCAAAAAAATAAAACCAAATTCCTTTCTATCTTCAATTTAACTTCCAGAAGTGAATTGGAAGATGTTTTCTTCCTATTGGTTTTGTTTTTGTAAAATGTGTTCTATCGCAAGTTACTTCTTCGCGATCGCAAGCCTTTTTAGGTAGTCAAATGTGATCTATCGCCATTCTATCGTCCAGAAGTGCCTCAGAAGTTACTTCTTCACGATTTGAACCCTTTTTAGGTAGTCAAATGTATTTTATCGCCATTCTATCGCCCAGAAGTGCCTCAGAAGTTACTTCCTCGCGATTTGAACCCTTTTTGTTTTTGTAAAATGTGTTCTATCGTCTTTCTATCGCCTAGAAGTGTCTTAGAAGTTACTTCTCCACGATCGTGACCCTTTTTGTTTTTGTAAAATGTGTTCTACCGTATTTTAATCGTCCAGAAGTGACCAAGAAGTGACTTCTTCGCGATAGATGTATATTTTGTTTTTGTAAAATGTGTTCTGTCGTGTTTCTATCTTCCAGAAGTTACTAAGAAGTGACTTGTGGACGATAGGCGATAGAAATATCGCCCGTTTGCTTGCAGGGTATGGGTGTGTGTTTTTGAGGTTATATTTTTCGTGTTTGTTTATATATGTGTTGCGTTGTTAGTTTTTTTGGGGGCCACTGCCTGCTGTCATTCCGGAACAGTACATTTCTAAAGCTTTTTGCTTCGAATAGTGCTGTTATTTTCTATGACACTGTCTGTTTGCGTGTGTTCGTTACCACTGAAATAAAATATCAGGGACCTAGTTAAAGATCTCTAAAAGTATCGATATTTTCACAGTTTCCAAGGAAAAGAAAAATAAAAATCTAAAAATAAAATAAAACCTTAGAAAAACATCGTTGTTTATCGAAATTATCGATAATTCGCATTGAAATATTCATAGAAAAATGGAATCTAACCAAGCAAAATAATAATAATTATTTAAATTCCATTTAAAATAAATTCCCCTTAATTTGCACCTCAAACAACAAGTATACAATTATTTTTTCAGTGTCATTTATCATGTATAGGTGAGGTCGCTCGTTTATCCTCTCATCGTTCTTGTCCTTGTGCATCGTTTTGTGGTTGTTTCGGTCTTCCCCAGTATTTTTTGGCCGTCTAACTGTTGAGTCCTTGCCCCATTGATGGGGAGAGAGAGAGAGAGAGGGGAGATGCACGGACAGACAAGGATAGAGAATCCATTTGTGGGCACCGCAAACAACGTTAAATGCAAATTTACGCTCCTGCCACTCCCACTAACTGATGTACGTAGCGTAGCCAACGTAGTAGTGCCCATTTTTCGAAGCCCCATTGGAACCCTGGATTTACCATACCCCTTCTGCGACCTTCTGACCCCGCTGCTCCAGAATTTTCCACCCATTTTCCCCACCAATACAGCTGTGCACACAAAATGGCCGTGCTTTTCCTTCGCCTCTGGCTCCTTCTTCTTGTTTTTGTTGACTATTGCCGTTATTGCCAAGTTGGAGAGGGACGGAAAACCCCAAAGAGGGATGGGGAAAACGTGGGGGTTTGTAACCCCAGTGGCCAGAATTGAAGTGTTAGTAGTAATGCTACTAATTGGACTCGCTTTTAGCAACGCTTCATGTGGCCCGAAGCAATCTCGATCCCGAGAACCCAATCCCCGAAGCTAAAGCTCCTTCAAAGTGCTCTACATACATACATATATATATATATATTAAGTCCTGCGCCAATATACAAGTGCGAGTGTGGATGTCCTTCTCCAAAGTCTATAATTGGAAAATTTCAACACACTCGAAAATCAATTTCAACTGCAGAATGGCAGTTGAAATGTGAGTGGATGTCGTGCGAGTGGCGATGGCTTGGAGCTCAGTGGGTTAATTGCATGCGTTAGCTATGCTTTAATTAGCAGCGATCCTAGAAATATATGTATTCTAATCGGATTTAAGGTACCCACCAAATAAGAAAAATTTCTGAATAAATATTCATTTAAATTTCCCGTGATATTTTTTTTGGTTTTATATACATTTTACGTGTGCGACAGAGGTCGAGCAGAGCTATTTCCCATTTCTTGAGGTTGTCTACTTTGAAATTGGAATATTTTTTAATAATTAAAAACATAGTGATTATAAAATTAAAATTCATAGAAAAAAAGTTTTTTTCTTAAGTTTGGAAAGAAAATTAATTGACTCTAATATTTATATCAAACCCCGTAAAAGCATTTCACCGTACAGGCTAAAAAAAAATTTTTTTCTGTTAAAAGTTTTATTTAATTATTCCTAAATATGCATTGATTTCTAATACTTTTTAAGTGTCTGGAGACAATACTTGAATATCCTGCCATTAGCTTTTCTGAAAAAAACCTTTAAAAGCCGTCGAACCCATCCGTTTGACAACCCAGAACTCAGTAAAAAAAGGGCAAAATCGTGAAGAAATCGCGCCATAATTACTCTTCTTTTTTTTCGTGCTAATTAATCACACACACATAGTCCTCCTTTTGGGGTTTTTGCCTTTTAAGGGTGGCAATTTGGCTCAACTGAAGTTTACTCGATGAGCGCATACATACAGACAGACAGAGTGGCAAGCTATTTCCGTCTCGCTTGCTCCCGCTTTCGAGGGACTTAGAACAATAACGGCCATTAAAATGCTTAATTATAAATTCGCAAACGTTGCTGAAATTTTCTACATTTTTTCCCCCATACCATTCCCCTATCCCTCTTCCTCTCTATCCCGCAGCTCGCCCTATATCGCCATCTCACTTGCCCAGCGTGAATCAGACCTTAAATGATTTCCGGATTTTGCGTTGCTCTCGCAATGCTGTGCACATTTTTACCTATGCATATATCACATTGTCTTTTCAAAATCCAATTAGGTACCAATTCAGAAAAAATGGGTATTATGCATTAATATCATTGATAGCTCGAAAATGAAAACTATTTTTCTATCTATTACAATATAAAAATGGTGTAAAAAAATGGGAAGTAGGAGATATATCCAAAACGGCTTGACTTAAAAATGTAAAAATAAAACCGAAATTCTTGTTTAATTCATAGATCCAAACTGAGTACCTAAAATATTTTTTAAAAATATAAAATTAAAATACAGCCCTATTTTACAGTGTCATGAGGCATTAAAACAGGCGATTCTCTATACCCAATAAAAAGTGTATAAGTGGAACTTAAGTCGCAGAGGAGCTGCACTCGAGATGCCGATCCTGATTGCTGGTTATAAACGATTTGCCATCATGATGACGCTGCACACACACAGAAAACTGAAGGAGGTGTGAAAAATCAGGCCGGAGACATCCAAACAAGCGCATATGAGATGAAAACCAGAAAGACAAAGGATTCAATTCAAGGGGAAATGCAAATTCCTTGGCCGCGTTTTTGTTTTGCCAACAGCAAACACCTACTCGACGGATGTACATAATTAGTTCGTTAATTCATTAAGGAAGCTAAATGAAGTGGAAGTGGAAGGACCGCGACGGCGACTGAGACTGAACAATACACACATATCGAGTTACCATAGATACCAGAGGCTGCTGACTCACCTGTATACGATCCTCGGGCAGTTCGGTCTTCAGCGATAGCATTTCGCGGGCATAGACATCGGGATAATGGGCTTCCTTGAAGGCCTCCTCCAGTTTCTCCAGTTGATAGCTGGTGAATATGGTGCGGCTGTGCCGTCGCTTCTTTTTCTTCTTCTTGCTATTCGGACCCACGCCAAAGCCATTCAAGCTTTCCATCACAAAGTCCTTGGGCGCCAGGGAACCTGGAATAATATTAATCATTATAATCACAGAAAAATCACATTTAGTTATAAAGTAAAAAATATTTATTTTTCAGCTGATTCAGAAATCAGTTCTTAGCTAAAACCTACACTATAGCAAGAATATTTGGTAGAAGTTTGAACCATTTAACTTTACTGGTTTGGCCATTGGCTTCAACCTCTAAATTTTAAGGATGTCATTTTATACAGTTCGTTTTTTAAATAGTATATAAAAATAGCATTTATTCCCTGAATTCAATCTGTTTCCCCCACCCTAATATGTCAAATTAGTTGACGAGAATCCCACGACCCGATGCCGGAAAACACATGGCACTAAAGCGCGACTTGAAGTGGTTTTGGTTAATATGTTGTTTTTAATATTTAATAATTGTATCTAGTTTCCTATTTGTCTGCCGCGTATTTCTCGTTTTTTTTGGGGTTGTCACATACACATCATCAGTTTTCTGCTGTTTTAAGGAAAATCCCACTTGAGAGGGCGGCTGTGAAAAGCGGGGAAAAGTGAAAGCGTCGAAAGAGGATGGCACTTCGGGATGGGAATTCGGTTCGAAGGAAGGAGCTGACAAGCGTTGACAGGCGCGATTTGAGTTTTCGATGAGTGGCAGTAGAGTTTATACACAGTGAAACAAGTCTCGGCAATTCAAAATAGAAGAGGAATATATCTTTATATGAAAGAAAACTTTTATATTAAACATGAAGTTAAAAAAAATTTTGAAAAAATATTATTAATATTTTCATTAAATATACAAAAATAATTATTAGTAAAATCTTTTATTAATTATTCAAATCCTTTTCAAAAACTCAACACATTTATTTTATATGATTTTTTCTGTGTAATCGCAAAGATGAGCGACCTGAGGACAAGTTGAGGATGCTGCTGATGAGTCTGGGGATGAGTCGATGAGGATCGAACCCACTTGGCGGATTGGAGAAGAGTTCGAGACTTCGAGAGTTGCCAAGCAACCAACCTTGTTTTGGCCAAATCGAATCGAACTTGGAGCCTGCTGGAGCACCCGGAAAACATACATAAATGCACAGTTCGGTGATCGAGTGGTCTGCAGTCTGCACAGCATGGAAAAGTATGAAAAACAAAGCATACACGAAAAACATTTCGCATTGAAATTCGATATGAAAAATGAAGTAAAGAAGGCTGTTGTGTTGTGGCTGCTGACGAGTTGTTCAAGTGAAGAGCACCGCATCATCATCATCCCCATTAACATTCCACTTCCCGTTTTCCTTCTCCCGATTTTCCCTGATTTTCCCACTAAATGCTCGTGAAAAATATCTCCGGAGGGAGCTGCTAGTGAAAATGCACGCGTGTAATGAAGGCTGAAAATTGCATCTTAAATTACCGGGCGAAAAATTCAATTCATTTCACTAGGAGGCGAAATCAACAAGGTATGTTAAAGGGAATTTAATTGTTCTGGCTGTTTTCAAGGGGAATAAGGAAATTATTTCGAGGGCTCTCTCTCAATTATCGGGTATTTATTTCACGGTCAGTATCTAATTAAATCATTGCACCTGCTTTTACTTTAACACGAATTTCTTTTCTTCTTTTAAGGAGCAATTTGGCCACTTGATTTTTAAAGAAAAATACTTTTTGTTCGATTTAACTTAAGTTAACAACTGTTTTTTATGTTTTATAAATGTTATAATTTAAAAAAAAAAAATTTTGTAATCTTTTAGTCCCATGAATAAATAAAATCAGGCAACTTTGAATTTGGTTCTCTGTCTTAATGAGCCCATACACACACACACACTGGGATGCCAGCATGCATACTAACGCACGCAGCACTCACACACACACACATGCATCACAACATATTAGCAATTAAAATTTTCTTAGTTAATTACTTTAAGCAGACGACGACGAAGGATGCAGGACGAAAGGATGTCGGCTGCTGGGATGCTGGGAAAAAAGAGAGCAAACAAGTGGCCACCCAAATGAAAGGCGACAACATTCTTCCAGCTTCCATCTCTTTCTCGCCTACTCACCCTCTCTCTTTCTCGCCCATTCTCGCTAAAGCACAAAGAAAGTAAAGCCAACCCAACCGACCTCTCCCCTCTTCTCGTCCCCTCGCCTGACAAGTATATTTTATGAAATTTATGGGCATTTCACTAGAAAATTTAATTAGGAAATCTAATTTGCTCAAAAGCGCATAAAAAATGTTGTCGCTTCTAAAGGGGGAAGCCCCTTTGGTCCCCACCAAAAATTTTCACTGCATTTCGTTGCCATTTCCCTTTCTCTGAGCTGCTCATTTTGTAAGCTGCATCATTTTTGCTAGCCAAAGTTGCATGGAACCGAAATTCTGATCTTTTTTCGGTTGGTGTTGAATAAATTGCATACTTTTCTGCACCTTAGGTAAGCGGTTTTAAGCTGAAATGGAGTGATCTTTAATGGAAATTAAATTGAAAGACATTTTATAGTTTCCAAACTTTTTTGAGATGTTAAGTATTGATAAAAGTAATATATATTAAAAATAACAGTACTCTTAACATTCAAAATCAAGTTCGCAAAGATATATAAATGCCTGAGGTCACACGCCTATTTTCCATAGGGCACACGTCGATTCTTTCTTGTATCGCTTAGATATTTTACAATTCTAGCAGAAAGATACCCAAAAATGTTTACAGTGCGGTCTTTCCTGTGGACCCGTTGCTCCTGCTTTTTCCGCCCAACTTTCGTCGTCCCGCCCCCCACTTTTCCACCCAGTTTCCCGTATTTCCTCGCCATGCATCAAGTAACCAACAAAATGACTAATTCCTCGTCTGTGTGTCGGCTGCATGTGTGTGTGTGTGTGCGAGTGCGTGTGTGCTGGTGTGTGTGTGTCGCATAAACAGTTTCATGGCAAAATACGCTAATAAAGTGGCTGAGTTGTTGGCAACGCGACAGCGACGCAGACAGCGCTGTCGTCGTCGGCAGAGGTTGGGCAGAGGCGTCGTCGTTGAAGGGGCATTCGCAATTCGCAATTTGCAATTTGCATTAGCACCAAAGTGGCTCTGCATGTGTGTGTGCTTTCGCATTTGTGTGGGTAGTGGGTAGTGGGTACTGGGGTACTTTGTGAACTGCCATTCGGATTTTCACTCATTTTCGTACGCTTTTTTCGTACTAATTAGAAATGAAATTGAATTATTTGCTTGAGGAATCAAACAGAGGCCACAAACGCAAACGCAAAAAATCAGAAAAGAGTAGGGAGGCTATATGGTGAGTGGACCAGTAAATGCTCCAATTAACAGCTTTGATAACCCGGTTTTTGATGTCGCGATGGTTAATATAATGGTATTTTAAAAGATTCCGAGCCAATATTTCTTCAACTCAGGTAATTGTAAATTTAAAAATGTTAATTAAAATTTTAAGTGATGACTTTGAAATATTAATAATTTTTTTAAAATTGGGTTACAAAGGTTTTTGGTTTTTCAAAACTATCTGCAGTTTGTTATTGCCTTATTTTGAAGATCTGTATCTATTCTTTATCTATCTCAAAAAAGTGAAAGAGCAAAAAGTTTGTGTGCGAAAATTGTTGTTGTCGTTATTATAACTACTTTTCCACATTGTTGTATCTGTTTTGTTGTTGTTGCTGCCGTTTAAAAAACGGTTTGCACTTAAAGTTCGTTGAGTTCGCTTGGGTTGGTGAAGCAGAAAGGTGGAAAGGTAGGTGGCTTGAAGTGGGCCCAAAAGCAGAGAAAAAGGGTTAAAAGAGGAGGGCTGAGCGACTGTGCTGTCATCTTGGCTAGTTCAATGTGCATTTTGGCTATTAATTTACAAAGTATTTCAGTCCCTTTTTTGGGGATAGAAAATAAAATTTAATTTTTTTAAAATTCATTTTATTATTTTTTTAAATTTTAATTTATAAGTTATTATTTTTTTTAAGCCATACCGGACAACACTAAGAAAAACGGGGGCCAAAACACAGAAGCGTTGGTGACAACAGCAATCAAGTTAACCAAATTTGACACAAAGCTGGCTAAAACGCTGCCGCCCCAAAATGGGGGAATCCCCGCTCACCACTTTCCTTCACTTTTCGTGGGTGGATTTTCCCAGTGGTGACGAAACAATGGAATGAATAAGAAGAAGCAGAGCAGTCACACGACAAGCAAGGAATCTAATTAACAATTTTCCATTGAGTGCGCAAATTACGAGGAACAGGAACAGAAAGCGAGGGATCCGGATCCGTGCGAAAGAGGCAGCAAGAGGCTGGCAGAAAGAGACGGCAAAGGGGTCGGAAAGTGAGACAAAGAGAGAGTGAGAGCGAGAGGGGGCGAAGGCAGACAGGAGCAATTAGACGGGGACGAATGGCGGACAATGTCAAAGCGAATTTCCGCATAATTTCCAGACAAAGTCGATTGAGGTGCGAGTCCTCTAAATTTGCATCCAAAATAGTGTATAAAACATAAATTTAGGAAAATAAAAATATATAAATTTATTAAAAGCAAAAAAAAAGTTGTAGCAAATAAAAATCTGTTTTTCTGTAAAGAAAATAAGAAAAAGAAATATTAAAAACTTTTGTAAATATGAAACAAAAATGTAAGAAAATAAAGAAATAAAATAAAGCCCTTCTGTAAAGAAAATGAAGAAATATTTAAAACGAGATGGAGTAGAATTAAAATAGGAAATACGAAAAGCAATCTGTATTTCGGTAAAGAAATAATAATTAATTAGTAATTATTCTCTGTATATTTTCACAATAAAAGTTTGTTTAATTATGTTTATGATGAAACGTCAGAAAAACGTAAATGCTACTGATCAACTACAATGTTTGAAAATTTATCGAAAATATCGATAATTTCAAAAATTTTTAAGCTCTACTTCTGTAACCAGGTTTTATAGCCTAATCGTTGACGATACCCCACTTTTTCGGAAGAAACTGAAAGATATCTTCATCGATTCTGTGACTAATGCACTTTATTCCCCGAGATAACCATAACCCTTTGTCTCCTGGTCTCCCCCCACTGCCCATACATACACATATTTTCAACCCATCTTGTGCGTTTTATCACCCTGACACAACACATTCACGTATTCAGTCCACTGGTGTGAAGTGAATCGCGATTGGTTTTGCTTGGCACATGTGTGCTGTTGGTTTTTTACACTCTGTTTGTGTTGCGTGTTTCAATTAAGCCCCGTACAACACAATTTTCAAAGCCAGCCTTCCTTTCGACATGGCCAGCAAATAAAACTTAGACACGCTCGCTCGCAGAAATTCAGAAATTCAGGGGGTAACACAATACCACGAAGGAACGAACGGGGGAAAAATGCCAATTAAAATCTTAGCCATGACAAGTGCAACACGATGGTGCAACAAAAGTGGAGCCCCCAACTTTCCTGCTTCCCTTCCATTTTTCAAGGCAAATTGCCCTACTTGTCAGTCTCTCTTCGCTTCTTCTTCTTCATCGTTTTTTCCTTGGCTTTTGTGTAATCTTGTCTTGCAATCTGCTGCTGCTCGCAGCAAATGGCTCAAAAGTGGCAGCCTCCGCATTTTCCCCGCTTTCCTGCCGACTTTTCCTCTCTGGAAGAATGCAGGCGTCGAGTGGAAGACTTAAGCAGGGCACTTCGTCCATAAAAACAGAATGGAAAGAATGCGCGGCCAAGTGGCCAAGTTCGTGTTGCATGGCCCAGTCAGAGATTAGAGTTTTAGAAGGGCCCACTACACCGGCAACAGCAACATCATCGGGAGCAACAGCAGCAGCAACAACAGCGACAAAAGGGCAATTAAGTAGAGCCAAGAGCCCCAAGAAGTACTTAGAATGATAAAAAGAAAAGGATGCCTCATATTTACCCGAAAGAACCAATTAAGTTGAGGCTAAATCTCACGCTTTAAAATTATTCAATTAAATTAGTACTTTCCTCACTAAAAAATTAATAATTATATTAATAAATTGTAGGAAAGATTTACAAGTGTGAAATTGAAATATTTGAAATATATGGTCACATTGGTTTTTGTTAAGTCAAAGACTATGTCTGCGGTCACACGCTTAACTTGCATTTTATTGTAATTGTCTTCGTAAATGAATACATTTACAAGTAAACAATTGAAATATTTTATTAAATAATAAATATTTAAATAATAAGCAATTTATACGCAGTTTCTTGACACCTTTTTTTGGCCTTGATCAATTTGTGGTGATGGGCTGACTTTTTACTTTTACCTTGTTCCAATTTATTGGCGCACTCATTGTGGCTTCCCCAAGCCTTTTCTACCCCATTGTGATCCTTCTTTCTGCCCCTGCCCACGTCTCTCGTCCCTTCCTTATCCTTTCAACCAGTTTCCAGATCCCTTTTCTTATTAGACAAGTTTATGCGCTTCGCATTTCATTCGCCTTTGTTTTGGGATTCCCCCTGTATTTTTGTGTAGTATTTGTGTGTGCCGCTGTCGAAAAAGGGTTAAGTCAGAAAGAGACGGCACGAAGGCGAACAAAAGAGAGGGGGGATACAGGACGTGTGTGAGGTTGAGGATGTGAGGAGAGATGTATGCGCGTGTAAATTGCGTATAAAAGCGTATGTTGAAAATATTTATTGCCCGTTACGAATGCAACAAAATGAAAATGGAAATTTCATTATTTGACTTTTGTCTCTCTCGCATGTGTGTGCATTTCCCAGTTTTCCCTTTTGTTTTTTCGTTAGCTAAATTGTTTATTTTATTAGCAATTTGGAGAATTTATGTGCGCGACATGTGAAATTTACTCTTTACCCCTTTACGCCTCTGAAGGAACCGGTAGCCATGACTCAAATTGAAGTGCAGGAATGCCCATTAATTAGGACAGAGCTCGCGAAGCTAGCGCCCTCTGTTGGTCAAAGGGTATTCAGCTTTTTTTTGGCTTTGGCTTCAAAGGATTGCATAAAAGGATTAAGGATATATGTGGCCTACCTTTGGGCTTCCGTTAAATTTGTTTATCCCATTGGATTGCAAAGAGGTGAGTAAACTTACCGGGTAAACATGTGGCGGCTCCTGCGGCATAACTTTTCATCTGCGGGAATCCTGAAAGTGAGAAAATATAAAAATAATTAAGTTGGTGACGTGACCTTGGAACTTTTCTTTGATGGCCCCACGTTGGGCGCCAATTGTTTTATTGAAGGTGACTGACCTTAGAACTTTTCTATGAGACACTGAATATTTCCATTAACCATTTATCTCGAGGACAAAAGTTAACCTGATATTAAGATATCGAGCCTACATTGAGTTTTACCTACAATTACTTTGACACAATGCTAGCATACATTAGTATAGTTTGGATTTCTTGCATTTATTAGCAAGACAAGGGTCTCCGAATTAACACTTAAAGAATTGAGGATGGGAAATGTTGCATGCACATGGCATATACTCATGCATGCAAAAGTACACAGAACAAAATGTAGAACAAAATCACTAAAATAATAATTAAAATTTTATATTAAAAACTTAAGAACTTTATACCATTTATCATAATAATTCTGATCAATATTTTATGAGAAAATTTTATCAAAATTTTTAGTTTTAAATATCATATCTTATTTTTAAGGTCGAAACTTGATGACTTTTCTTCGAGTATTGCTGGCAGGCACTCAGAAATGCAAATCGGCGACCTCGATGTCGAGAAATCGAGACAAGCTCTCGCTCTGCAGTCGCAGTCGCAACCCCTACTACTGCGCCTTGTTAACCCTTCGGTGGCCGTGTTAACCCCTACCCGTGGCAAGCGAGTGACATATCAAAGCAAAATCAAATTTGACAGACAACCGCGCTAATTTCTGGTCGATGTTTCATTGTTTCAAGGCGTTCCTCTCGTAAACGTTCGTGGTAGTTTCGGTTCTCGGCTTTGGCTTTGTTTCGGGGTTCTGGTTTTCTGGTTTTAAAGGGGAATCGGGAATCGGAATTCGGGATTGGGATTGGAACCGAAAGTGAATCGCAAACTGTGTGTGCTCCTCAATTGTTTTATGGTGACGCATTTCGAAAACACAAAGAGATCTCGGATCTCGACATATGCCAACAATAATAAGCGATGATGAATGTGTCGACGACAATCAAACCGCATTTATTAGCTCTCTACCAGAGAAATTCCATTTGCTCAAAATGAAATTTGATATTGCAATATAGTGCGCGCGAAACTTCTCTAAAGAACTAAGGGAACTGCAAGTGACGATGTATTTATAAACTGATTAACGCTCGACAATAGCTGATATGGGTCGCTTGGCGAAAAGTTCGGGGTAAATATGGGAAAAATATGGAAAAAAATAATGGAGATCGGGGGGTAAAAGGCGGTCCAGAGACCGCACAAGGCGATCGTGGAGAAGCGTGTGGGTCGTGAACATCCGCCGGAGGTCATGCTAAGTAGCCGCTTCGGTGTCCCAGTCCGAGTTATTGTACCCAACATACATATGTACTCGGGTGTCGTGAGTGAAAATCAAGTGAATTAATTATAAACTCATATAGCTGACGCGACCATCATTACTTTATAATTATATGGGTTTTATAGACTCAATTTTCTCTTTAAAAGAATATATTTTGTTGTATATTTATGAGTTTTTTATCTTAGTTTGTGTTAAACAGCCATTAATTTTGTTTTTGATCTTAAACATTTTTAGAAGCTATCGATAATATCGATAAAATTGATAGTATTATTAATATCGATAGTTTTAAAAACTGGTGGTGGTGTCCAAAACTCTACTATTAAACTCTACTACTATTAGCAGCTAGTGAATAACCGATGTACAACTATCAATTAGCTTGGCACCCACCGTGAACTCAGTCGAGGCGTTCGACCAGGTGAATCACATCGCGTCCACAATTGAAACAATTTCCAGACTTTCCGAAAAAGTGCTGAGTAGCCACTCCAAATAGCCAGATAGATGGCCGTGCCATGAATAATTAGCAGTCGTAGTTTGTTGATTGTTACTCTCGTTGTTGTTGTTTTTGTTGTTGCTACTGCTGTGTATTGGACAGTGAAAGCAACCAAATTCCAAACTCCAAGTTCCAAATTCAAATCTAAATCCATACCGGAATCCCACTTTCGAGCCGCTGAAGAAGCAAAGCGGCCGCCGAGGAAACTCAAGTGCCAAATCGTGTTTATTTGCGTTATAAAATTAGCGCAGTGCAAAGGCGCAGTCTCTAAAGGGGGGTTGTTCATGTCCCACAAATGGTCCCCCCCTTCCGAAACGGCGCCTCTGAAAATGGCTGGGTGTGCTGTTGTGCAGTCGAAGTGAGTTGAGCTTTTGGTCACGAATTACCCGGCTCTGATTGCCATGTGACGGGGCAGAAAATCCAGCTTATAAATACATGAATGCGAATATACTGGGGAACTTGCTTATAGTGAATCCAAATAAAAAGTTTCGACGGCATATGCAAATGTTTCCAAATACTAGATATATTTTTGGAAATTATTATTGAAATTTTTTGTCCGTCTGTCCGTTTCTACGCAAACTAGTCTCTTAGTTCCAAAGCTATCGCGTTAAAACTTTCCCAAAAGTCTTCTTTCTATTACAGGTAGTATATAAGTCGGAACCAAATGGATCGAACAACTATATCTTATAGCTGCCATATGAAAAATCGCAAAATTAATAGAACAAAATTCGAAAAATCATTGGAACGATCGGAAAATAATGGGAAATTAATAGGAACAAAATCATAATTCCGTGGAATTTCATTGTACTTTCTTTTACTCTAGGATACAACTTCTTTTTAATATTTCCGAATTTCGAATTAAATTAATTAAGTTACAATCAAGTGAAGCTAGCCAGGCTCTATAGTTATCGCTTTTATTATCATTGTAGTTCATGATTGCGTTCCGTTCGAGAAAATTTAAAAATTATTGACGCTAATTCCGCTTAATGCAAATTGCTGTGAATCAACTCGCATTCACAGCCTCACCCTCACACTCACTCACACTCACACTGGCACGGACAAATTAACCCTTGAGTGGCACTCGGCACTTCTCGTTCGTCAAGTTGCTTTAATTGACTTTTAAATTCGCAAAAAATCAAAGCGAAAAAGTGTGACAAAGTGCCAAAAACAAGTATGTGAAAAAAAGAGAGGAGGTGGAAAAGTGCAGCGGCGACTGAACAACTGAAACAATAACTGCACTCGTGGAGCGCTGACGTTGAACATTTTTTTCACACCTCAGACAATAAAGAAATTGCGTTAAGGGAAGTTAAGGGGTTAAGCTTTAAGGTTGGGAGAGGTTGCGAGGAGGAGGGGCACACTCGAAATCGAAAATTCCGAAAAGTCCGCTCACTCAGAAAACGAAGGGCGTTTGTCGACACTTTTTCCCGCATTTCCCCGCACATTTTTCAGGCGTTTTTTTTTTGTTTTTTTTTTTTCTAATTTACGTCAACTCAAAATCAAAGCAAAGTCAAAAGACGACCGCACACAATGTCCGAGGAGGCGAGAAACTACAATTAAGAATATTTTTATCATAAATATATGTATTACTGGGGCAGGCTATTAGCAAAGTGGCTCAAATATCAAAGGGCGGAACGTAGAGAGATATGTAGGTGCTTGCATGGAAGACTGACTGACTTCGGAAGACTGACAGGCAGCAATTAGCAATTCTGGAGCCATTGATTGCAACACTTTTCGTTGTATAATATACAAAATAAATATGATAAACTGGGCAAGAAATTCTATGCATTAATTAATTGAAAATACAAGAAAATCTTACAAATTTATTGCATTTTTGTACTTACAAATAATAGGAACAAAATTTGAAATTATAATTTATTGATTCTTATATTAAATTGCGTAAATATCCAGCTGGGCATTAAAAATTCTAAATGGTTAATTTCGAGCCGCAAGTAAATTACCGAAATATTTGCAACAACAAGTGCACAAATACACATTTAATTTCGGGTGTGTGTTGGCTTGTCAGTGTGTGTAAACACATCAAAACGACTGTCACAACAAAGCGATGCGACGAGCCAAAGTGAAAATTGTCAATTAAATGTGGGGGAAAAGCGAAGAAAAATCGTTTTTCTCCTCTACTCTTTGTTATTGTTGGATAACCGATTTACCGATTTTCCGATTTGTTGTTCCTTCCTCTGTTAAAAGATCAAAGGCACTTAATAATGGGAAGGCGCCTAACACTCAACACTCTGGACGGGAAATCCGCCCGAAATCCGAACGAACTTGATGCGAATTTTTAATTGACGAACGAACACGGCCACGCAAATGGGTATAAAATCAACAACAGAACAGAAACCAAAATATATTTGTACGACATAAAGAGCAGAACGAGAGACGACAATATGCAAAATTAAATACGATGACGCGAATGAAAAGGAGAAGCAGAAGCAACAGTAACCGACACAAAACTAATCACTAAGAATAATAACAGGGGGAACGAATGGAAAAATCTCGACTATCACATACCCTAGGAAATAATATGTAGTTAATGGTTATGCTTAAAATTAAACCAATTACTGAGGACCCAACTGAACTTTTATACAGAAAAAACACACTAAACTAAATTAGCAGGGGAAACAGAAAACTCGACTATCACATACCCTAAAAAATATCATTTAGTTAATGGTTACTCAACTTAAACTAAAATTACAAATCACTAAACTAACCAAACTTAATTAAAAGTATCATCTCAATCTACAAGCCAATATTCCCGTTATTAAATAAAATACTAGCCAACGAGCGGTCTTTCCCACATTTATTAAACCACAAATTACGGCAAAGAAGCGAAAAAGTTGTATATTTAAAACAAAGCAGGAACACCAAGTGGAAGGAGCAACAGACGAAAAGAAAGACGTGGAACATACAAGCGAAATACATAAAGCCAAGAGAAGGGTCCGGAAGTAGACTAGTGTACTCCTCAGCAAATTTCAAATCAAATCCAGAAGGGAAGCTTGATTCGCAAAGACGAAATTTGAATACCCTGTCAGCTGAATACTAGAATGTTTGTGTCTTGTTTTTTATGTTCATCACTCATACGCACTGTTGCCTTTGATAAAAAGTGGCATAGATTTTAAGCCAGCATTTGTTTGCATTTTTGCTCTCCCTTATTTTAACTATTATTTCAAGTTGAAGGAACGATTTTTTTGAGTTAAATCAAACTGTCATGCGTAACGTACATATAATTAATTTCATATGCAAATTTAAGACAATTAAGCTTGTTTTACTCACAACTTCAAAATACATTTTTATTTAATTTTGGAATACTCTTTTGTGAAAAATTGATTATATTTTCTGGTCCACCCTAATGCACACACATAAGTAAGTACGTGGAGTGCGCAGTGAAATTGGCACAGTGAATCAGAATCAGTACAGGGCAATGGAAATCGGAGATGACGATGATGTTTCAACGCTAATTAAAATAATAATAACAATAATAACAGCTGCCACTTGAATCTAGAAGATTATCGGTGGACCCTCGCTCTTTTTTCACAGAGAAAAAAATGGATCATGTTTTGACGGAATATTTATGAATATTGCCCAATATTTACATTTTACATTTTACAAAAATTTATTAAGATTCCAGTCTACCAAATAAATTATTTTCTTCCTTTTTAAACAATGGTATGGTCCAAATAAAATCATTTTAAATATCATAAATTTTTCTCTTGTGTAGCACTCCCTACATATTTTTGCGCGCCTTTCTGTTTATCTGCGTTCGCTGTCATCGCCCCGACTTGGGATGATATTGCCACTTCCAAATGAGCTTTAAATCGAGAGACAGCAGCAGGTCGGGTCGAGTTCGTTGCCAGTGCGTGTGGGTTTGTTTTTCAGAGTGCAAAAAAGGCGCACTTACAGTGGCACAAAGTCAATCAAATATCGCTTTTTAAGTGTACTTTTGTGGCAAAATACCCTTTAAAAAATAAAAAAGCCACAAAAGTTGAAATATTCTCATTCTTTGAAAAAAAACTGGACACACTGGACGTAAAAGTGTGCCCAACTCGAACTTGTATGCATAGTGTTGGTATTTCGCCATAAGATAATCTAAACCCAGCTTAGAATTTAGCCATGGAAATGCACAATTGTGTGTGTAAGATCGAAGAGCACTGCTGTTCCCCCATCTGATCACTCTTTCACACGCACACACACACACGCACTGCAATTAGCAGCTCAACTTGAGTGGTGGTGCTTTCGAGTGGAGTGGTTTTGGAGGCGGATTGGTGGGTGAGGTGTGAGTTGTGAGCTGAGAGTTGTGAGAGCTCTGTAGTAGGGGCAAAGCTGATTTGACTGGACGGTGGGCCGTTGATTAATCCCTTTTTTATGCTAACTAAGCTGCACTCCAGACCGCAATTCGCCCCACTGTACGTATCGTACGTATATATATGCTTGTGTGCCTTTGTTTGTTTGTCTGGCAGGTGACAAAACCAGTTGCGATTGTTAATTGCGTTTAAACTTTGATTGTCATTGTAAATGAACACGGCAAAAAAATGAGCATTGATTGTTAATTGTGATTTTAAAATTAGCATAACAAATATTTGCTGCAAGTTTTTAAATTAAAATACGTGAAATTTCAAATATTTGAAACAAAAAAATATAAAATGTTGTAATTAAATAATTGTTGCATTATTATAACACATACAAAAAATTAAGTTTAAATATTTACCGAAGAGCTATTTTTCAAAATGGTAAAACTTTAATTTACAAACTTATATCGTATCAAAAAAGGAATAAAAAGTAAATCTAAAAAATTATGTTTTGACGTATTTAGCGACCATTCATTAACAACCATTCATTGACAACCGCAATAATTATATTATTTTTATAATCAAACGTCATTACCCATGGATTATAATAAAGGTATTTGTTATAAAGAAAAATTCTAACGTACAAATTTCAACCAAAAATCGCCCACTTATATAAATATTTAATAAAATATTTTTTAAACTAATAGAACTGGTTGTTCTTTTTTTGTGTGTGGCTGGGGGTGTTCATTAGTTCGCTAGTTCGTTCGGTGGGGACTTGGTGGCTTGGGCTTACCCTGCGCATGGAGCAGCGGGTGGTGCGGGTGGTGGTGGTGCTGCATCGTCGGCGGCGGTGGCGGTGGGTGGTGCGCTTGATGGTGGTGGTGGTGGGGCAGGTGCTGATGTTGATGATGGTGGTGCACCGCTGCGGCCAGTTGGTGGGGCATAAACGCAGCTGCAACCGCCGCATGGGCATTGAAGTAGGCCATTCGCGAGGCCATGGTCATTTGGTGGTGCTCCCTGTAATGGTGGTGCTGTTGGTGGGGCTCCAAATTGCCATCAGCTGTTGTTACTGCTCCTCCGCTGAATGATGTTGCTGCTGCGCTGGGTGTTGCTGTTGCTGCTGTTGTTGCTGTTGCTTCTGTTGTTGTTGCTATTGCTCCTGTTGTTGTTGCTGTTGCTCCTGTTGTTGTTGCTGCTGTTCCTGTTGTTCCTGCTGATGTTACTGATCCCGTTTGGCGCTCTTTTGCCAATATTGCACTGGCAACCGTTGTTGTTGTCGTCGTCAAATCGGTTGGCGCTTCTGTTGCTGTTGTTGCTGCCGTTACCGCCAGGCCCAGCAGCTCTTGAATGGCAAATGGCGAGCGTTGCGGCATTTTTAATTGCTTCTATTTAAAACTACGACTAGATATGAAAAAAAATATCATGGTACTCCCCCAAAAAAAAATCACAAAAAAAATAAGCAAAGCAATGTTGCAATATTGCTGTTGCACGCGATTTGCTGCGTTATTGCGATCGCAGAAAAACACACAACAAATTCGCAATAATTTCCACGTTAAACTGTTGCCTGCGTTAATGTGCACCAGGAGTTTTGTCGTCGTCGCAGTTGCCGTTGCTGCCGTAATGTTGCTGCTGCTGGTGGTTGGCCTGCTGGCTTTCCGACTTGGATTTGGCCAAAGAGGCATTCAGGAGGCATTCAGCTAACAAACGGTAAACGGTAAGCGGCCAGCGGAGCTTTTTGCCTTTCGCGAGGACCTCAAATCATGGCAAACGCAGCAGCAGCAGCAGCAACAGCAACAGCAGCAACATCTGCAGCAGCAGCAACACCACGCAGCAACAGCGACGCCGACGTCGACTGCACTGCCCGGCAACGGTAAATACTCATGGGGCGGTCTCTGTCGCACGCTAGCCGCACTCTTCACCCCCCTCCGCACTAGCCAGCAAGTGCGAGCGAGTCGGCAATATGTGGGACTTCCCCTCGGCAACATGGCGCATGTGCAACTTGAATTCGGTGCGAGTGGGAAGAGATCAGCACTACGCTTCCAAGCAACAGCTAGCTGAGCTCTTCTCGCCCATACAAAACCTTCCAGTCTTCCCTTCGACTTCCAGTTTTGGGACCAACTCTCGATGTATTGGTGCGGCGCTTGTCGTGGTATTAGTGTTAGATTGCCAGAGTGTGCGTCGTGCCATTTTGTGTGTTAGTGAAAGAAAGAGAGCCAGAGAGTTGTGAGGAGGAGAGAGAAAAGCGAAAGAAAAAAAATCGACCACCCGAACTCGGAACTCTGCAGCTCAAACTCCTCTCTCCTCGTCGCCGTTCAATGAAGGACGCCAATTTATGGCCCAAAAAACGAGCCACCATTCGGTGTTTGCACTGTAAAAACTACTCACTTGTCGCCCGCCTAACAATGCCTTCAAAAAAAAGGAACAAAAAAACAGTCTAATTAAAATTTTCGCCAAAAACTTTTCGTACCATTGAAATGGGTAAATTAGCATTTATTTAAGTGGGAGCGTCCTTGCGGCGCAGTATTGCGATTGCATGATTGGGAAAGATTTTCGGGAGGTATGCGGGCTTTTGTTCTCAGGACACTCCCGAACTCCGAAATGGTTTGGCATTATCGGGGCGAGAATAAAGCTTAGGGGCTTAGTAATATCTCGATCACTAAAAAAATCTTTAAGAGAGCCTTGAATTTCAATATAATGAAAAATTGATATTATTTGATATTATTTAATATAATATATTATATTTATTATTAAATATTATTATTGATATTTACATTGTAAGTACTTTTTTCATTCGTAAAATAGTTTACAAAGTTATTCAATAGTCGTTATTTTTTATTTGATATTTAAATAGAATTTGTATTTATTGTAAAATTTAAAATGTATTTTTAAATAAATTTAAAAAAAATAAATATAAAGTAAACAACAATTGTTTAAGGAACTGGATTTTCAAATTAGCAAGAGAAAACATTAAGATAAAATTGTTTATATTTAACGGATAATAATTATTGGAAAGCCAAGAGATCGCTGGCATCAAAAGCTTGTCAATAAGCGCACAACAACGGGTCTTTCGGGGCTTTTCTCACGCCCACCCAGTGGGCTCCCCTCTCTATATAGGGAAACCCACGCGGCAATTGGACAATTGAAATGCCAACGCTCACACGGCCAGAAATCGGATCGAAACGGAACACAGATCGTATGCCACGCAGTCTGGCATTTAAGGGAATCGAATGAAAGAGAATAATAAATAAAATAATAAAAGGCAGGGAAGACTGCTGTGCTGCGTGCTAGAAGAATTCCGAGGGGTAATTTGATATTTTTTAGAGCAGGTTGCTTGCCCCGCCGGATGATTCATTTATTTAAGCGAAATTCGTTTATTTACTGGAATTTGATTGTTAATTAACTTGCAATTACAATCCGACCGGGGATCCTGTCAAAATAAATATTGAGTTTCGCCAAAAAGATTATGGGTAATTCGATATAATATCCAGCCAGCTAGGAGAACTAAGAACTAGTTTCTATTGGCTACAGTTCAATGTTGGCAATCTCTCATATGTTTTTATTTTTTTATTTGGATCCTTTGGCATGTCCTTCGAGTTCCCAGAAGAAGCTCTCGGACCTTTATGCTTTTGTTTTGCAAATATTTTGACGTGCCAACGAAGGACTGACAACCCGACTACCTGGGAATAGTCTGGCTATATAAGTATATATGCACAGAGAGAAATTACCAGGTACGTTCGACTCAAATGCCTTGAAAATCGATATTTTCGATATTTTTCCAATATCAATTCTATAATATCGATGTTTTAATATTTGTTTATCCAAAATTTGAACTTAAAAATAGTACAACCCCAATTTTAGAATAGAGATTAGGGAACTTATTTTTACTTGATTTATTTTCTCTGTGTATATATAAATTTATATATATATATTTGAATGATATTTCGATACCGGGTGCCCTATTCCGTCTCGTCTCGAGTTGCTCTTCACATTTCTGGTAGTTGACGTGGCCCGCCAAATGATTTAATTATGATCTCAAGTGCGAAAGTTTACCAAAATCGATTGTCAATTATGTGTCGAGATTTATTTACTTAACTACTATTGTCTTGGCACAAACACACAATACAATACAAAGCACAATATACAATCGGAATGGACAAACTTAATTATGAACAATTAAAGTTCAGTTACTTTTTTGTGTAGGCTTCCCCTCGGCGAGTTTCTCGATTATTTTTGGAGTGATTGCCGACTGACAGGTGGCTATAAGGCTTGCCAAAAAAAACCAACAAAAAATCAGTAATAAATAATAATAAATCAAAATGGCATAAATAACAACAAAAACAGGCACACATTGTTGTGTAATTAAGTTGTTAAGTGTGAACAAATCTCGGTAAATCTTCGCGGGGAAACGGGGTTTGTTTTTTTCAAGGGGCTTTAGACAATATTATTGTCACACAATTGTTGCCGTGTGTGATTAGTTGAAACTTTAATTGCGCCACAATGGCATAATAACAACGATGATAATGGCCCGAAGAGCACAGACAAATTTTGAAGCGAAGGTTTTCGTGTTGGCACTTTGGCGAGATTTAAATACTCTTGAAAATGTGGTGCTATAAAATGTAGTATGGTAATTATAATTATGAATTAAATAGAATTTTCCCAAGACTCGTTCTCTTATTTAAATTTTAATCAAATATATATTTTCTTGAGTTGGTTTTTAATTCAATTTTAAATATTTGTTTTAAATTAAAGACTGTTATTAATAAATGTGTGAGGCCTCTTATGAGAATAGATAAATTATAAATGTATTTAATAAAAAGAAAAATATATAATTGTTAAATATTTAAATAATTATAAATAATATATAGGTATATAAAACGTTACCAAACATTTGCAGTACTAAAATTAAATACCCCAAAATAATTTATAGAGCATACTAATTTACCGTACAAGTGGTGGCATTTGCTGTATTAGCTGTGAATTATAATCGTCATTACTATTATTTATTATTGTTATTTGTTATTGTGGCTGTTTCTATTTCTGGGGCTTTCAAGTTTACTTTTAATTTATTTAATTGTTCAGTTCACTTCGCTTGAATAACGTGAGAAAATTTTTAATTCTGCCTTTGGAAAAGATTCATTTTGTGCAGGCTGCCCACAGATGGCGCCTGTGTTGCGTTTATGGCTAATTTTGCACAAAGCCAATCAGCGAATCCTTGTTTTGTGGCTGGGTTTGTGTCCTCGCTAATTAATGAAAGTTTTCGCTAATCATTTAATTACCTTTGCCACGAAATCAACAGTAACCCGGGTTCCAATTATTTTGATCTGTAGTTTTAATTATATATTTTAGAGAATTAAATTAAATAATTAAAAAATATATAAAGATTTTTTTTTTTAGTTTTGTTGACCAATTTATGTTATAAAACAGTTTTTTCGGTTTAAAATTGTATATTTATTCGAAATCATTCGAAACTCATTCGATTTTATTTCAAAGGTACAGCGTCTATTCTACTTTTGTTTCTATTATAAATACCCCCGCTTATCACATCACATATGTACGTCCTTTAATGGGATTATCTGCACTAATTTCCACCCAGCTAAAAAGTAACAGACAAGCTGAAGTAGAAAATACTCGATCATCATTTGTGTGTGCGACGGGAAAAATGATTTATCATTGGAGAGCACTCGAGGGTGAGGATGCTATATGCTATATGCTTAGTTCTTCGACTGGTTTGGGTGGGTTTTGGATTTTTTTGCTCTATATATGTATACATGGAGAGAAATTGTAAGCACCACTGAAAATAATATTTTTAAAGCCAGAATGATAGATTTGTAAAATCAATTTATTTTATATGATAACAAATATATTTTTTGGTTCTTTAAACACATGAAACAAGGTCCAATGAATATCTACTGAGACCATAATTTCTTTTAGTGTTCCACTATATCTGGCTGTGTGAGCTTCCGAAGTGGCCGAAGAGTGTGCTCGACAATGACGACGAACCAATTTATGAGACAGGCTTTCGAGTTGGCACTTGAGTAAACCGAAAGGCAAACACTGCACTACACACAACCAGAACGAAGGGAAGAGTAAGGAGGGGGCATGATTAGGGGTTGTGGAAACTTTGTCCATAGACCGGTGGTTGTTGTAGCCTCGGAATTAGAAAATAGGCAACAAAATTGGAAGCAGCACAAAAAACATAATAATAATAATGAAAATGAAAATAAGGGAGCGAGGGGTGTGAAATCCAAAATGGCCGAACTTTAATTGAAGTGTAACAGAAAAAGTGGCCGGCAGTAGTGGCATACAATACGAATACGAGTACTTCTGATGGCCGCCACACTGAAACAAAATCATAGGAAATTCAAGTTCATCAAAAAAATATAATATTAATAATATTTGTTTCATAATATTTATTTTATTTTTGAGGATATATAATAGAAATTATTTAAATCTTAATGCCCTTCCCTAAGACAAAAAATTAATTTTAATGAAGCAAATTTAATGTTCTTAATATCTTTCAAATAACAATACAAAAATACCTTTTATTAATTTTAGAAAGTGGATAATTGGAGGAAAT